TTGAACACACCAAATTTACCTACAAAAACAACGCCTGGCACAATCAGAAGGCATAAATTAATCTTGATCTTGCTAATAATTTTCTGATTCATTAAATTAAATCAGGGACACGTGACACATGCACACGTGTAACGTGCAACTTATATGCTTATCTGTGTGCTTATCAGATCTGCCACCAACAAAAGATACAGCCAAACCCCTCGTGGAATCATGGAAAAGGAGGGCTCCCCAACACGGGTGCAGCAGTGCCACAGCCATCAGACCAGCTGGTGAGAGCAGCACTGGTCCACAGGCCCGTCCTCCAGCTTCAGCTCAGCCCCAGCTCTCTGCTGGATGCGGCCCGCTCTGAACCAGCTCTGCCTCTCAGCAACCCCAGCCTCCGCCCAGCAGCCCTGCCTGGGCTGCAATCACACCTGACCACCCGTGGTGACTTTCATACCTCTGTGGACTCTGCTTGTCTTTGGGGGCTCCCCTTAGAATCATGCAGCCATTATTCTTGTCCATTCTGTAACCTACATATTATCGTGTGATATATGATTTAAGGGATTTATAAATATTACTAATTAAAATTAGAATAAAAGAATCTGTGACTGCCTGGCCCATCTGGCTACTGAGTGAACCTTGAGAACTCAGCCTGATAAGGCTGACAAAATTGATGCAGCTCATGAATTTATTGTTATTCAATAAATTCTGATGTTGTAGAATGTTTGTAGATACAAACATGTCCCGTCTGTTACTGGCATAGCTCTCTCACAGCACCAACACAAAGCATGTTGAAGCAATCAATTAGCATGATGAAAAGCAACTGCATCGTACTGAATTAGAAAATAAGTGATACAAGTTTTAACAGTGTGCACAGAATCAGTAGAGAGGACTGATTCCTCTCTCTCTCTCTCTCTGACACTGTACAGTACAACTGCCATAAACTACTGGATATAAATTTTAGACTTTCAATTTTTTGAGGGTAGAAAGAAAGTCTTTTTCATTTCTACATTCTGCACTGGATCCAATCCCACACCTTGCAAATAATATGGACTGAAGAAACACTTGGTAGAAGCATGAGTAAACAGGTGTTTAATATTCAAAAAGACATGGAATTACATCTCAAAAGTACATCTCAACAAATATATCCTTCCAAGCCTAGAAATAGGAGGTTCAACATAGGGCAGATCCTGGGAAAGATGAAATCAACACAAATGACCACAGTCCATGTCACCACAATTACACTTTCATTCAAAACACTTGAGAGTTGTCCTGTAGAAATCTCGACTACACAGAACATTAAATAAGGGATCTAAAAATGATTTGAATACCTGCAACTTGACAAATAATATTCGATTCCTACAATTACCAAACAATAAAAATGCTATTATTTTGATTTACAGATTTATAGGTAAGGAAATACACCTAGAGTGGTTTAAAAGGTAAAACAAGATCATGTTGTTAGTAAATAACACTTTCAAGATTTGATCTTAGACTCTAAAACTGATACTCCTTCTTTCTATTAAACCTTCCTGTCACTCTTACAGAAATAATGGCCATCATAAATTGTAATTATCAGCATCATTTATCAGAACATAGTGGATAAAGCAACGTTGATTTCAAATTTGGGTGAAATTCTTTCATATTAAGAATAATGAAATCCATCGAAAGTGACAAATGAGTAAGAGTCAAAGTCATCAATACACCAATGAAGCTAGGAAAAAGCAGAGTTAACCAAAAGGGCACAGAGGAAAAAATAATTTTAAGTTGAACGAATTATATGCTTGCCACGGACTGCCAATAGAATTTCATTATTTACAGAGCAGGAAAGATCTTGCCATGTGGCAGAAGCTATGACCTACTAGGGCCTGGAAGGAATTCTTCTGCAATGATGATGTTGCCTTGTCACTACCCAATAACAGTTCTGGTTAACATTTTAAATTTAAATTACTTGATTTAAATTTGCCTTGCATACTTTTGAAAGTTAGTGCTTTAAAATAAAAAGGAACAGACAAGTCAAGATAATGAGAAAGATATCTGAGGGGTAAAACACATGCTTTGGAGTTATGCAGCCTAGGAATAATAAAACAAAGGGATGATGATCTTTCAAAAATTGGCCAGTCCTCACAAGAATGATGTCATCACATACAAATATCCAAGGAAAAAAAGTGTTTAATTGCCACTAATGAAACTTCTTTAATTATTAGAAAGATACGTCAAACATTAGTTAAATACCAAGGACTGTTATGAATCACAGTGTTAGATATCTTTCAAAGTAGCTTATTCCAAAATCAGACTGATACTTTTTCTGCAAATAATTTAAAATGCCAATGTAATGAAGAAAAAGATATGACATAGCTCTTTCTCTTTCCCATAATTCCAGTCTCTCAACAAGTACAATTTTTCCTCACTAAATTCTACTACTGAAGAAATATTGAACAGGTAAAAATTACTTTATTCAAATTTCTTGCTCCAAATCTGAAAGTACAACTGTCCCTAGGAAATAATGTTAGCAGAAACTGTGCTCTGTGACACAGATTATAAGAAAGTGACAAGGAGGACTATCTCCAAAAGCATCTACTAAGAGTTCGAGTTAGGGAAGAATTCAAATGTGAGTGACGTGTAGATTCTTTCTGTATTTAATAAATGTTTTAGTTTTGCTAAGTAGTATCATGTAGGATTTTGATTTAATTCATACATAGCTCTTTTTCATGTGAGATAGTTTATACATAGATCTGCAAATTCCTAAACAACATATAAGGCTTTAGAAAAACTTTCAAGTACTGTATTGATGCATTTCTCTTTTGTTTTTCACACTTTTCATGTAATAAAGTAAAGATATTACTTTAGCAAAGGTTAATATAAGTACCTACCATATGGAATATAATCCAAACTACCAAAAACAATGAGACTACCCATAGTATTATGGTACAATCTGGCAAATGTGGACAATCACAGCTTAGGGAAAATAAAATTTCTATATACTCTATGTTAAACTTGATTAGTACCATATCTGCAGTTCTCCTGGATAGTTATTTTTCAGTGAATACAATTTTCAGATGGTGTATGAGTTAAACACAATATAAAATACATCTACAACTTAATTTATCCCAACTACATATTCATTTTCTTCAGTCCAGTTGTTGAACAATTTATCTCCTCTCCCTTGGATTGTGGTGCTTTCCATGTTCCTGTCATTTATTTATTAATAATATACTGACCTGCCTGTCAAACTGTTTATCAATACCACACTTTCAATTACTGTCACTTTACTAATATTTGTCAGGTAAATTCTTCATCGCTACTCTCACCAGAATTTTTTTTTCTTTCACATTAACTTAGAAAATAAGATATGCCAAGGGTGCGATTGGGATTATGATTACAATGTTATTAATTTGAAGAGATTATCTGGTATGCATCTTTATAGTATTAAGTCTTCCTAAACAGGAACATGAAATGAGTTCATATTTTCTTTTATGCTACTCAGTTAATCTTTAGGGTTCATCCTGCAGGTCCGCTCATTCCTTGTTAATTATTTTTAAATCACATTTTCTGTTTTTTAGGTCAGAATAAGAACTATTTTTAATTTATATTTTCTAACTACTTCTGATATAGTATAAAAGGACTGCATTAATTTCCATGTAGCTGCCTTCCTGAATTCCCTTTGTGATTTCAATTTATTCTTAAAGAAAAAATGAACTGTTCTCCAAATGGTATGATAAACTGAGAAGAAGGCTAGGAAGAGGTATGTGCAAGGGATTCATGCTGGGTGTGCATCACTCTGGTGCATTCCATCATACACCAAAATAAATTCCAAAACGGTGAGCAAATAAAATGGACAAAATGTACAGCTAAATGCTTAACTGATTTGGGGATGAATAAAGAGTTTCTAATAATGAATAATGAAAATCATCAAAGATATAAAGATTTGATTGCATTAAATTCAATATTTCTAAATAATCAAAATTAGCAAACATCAAAATGGGAAATAAATTGCAACAAATAACAGTTAAATGAGGTAAAACTCTAATATATTAAAAAGTTCTTATAAATCAATAAAAGAAAAATTAATTAATACCCAATAGAAAGATGGGCAGGAAAAAATATTGGAAATCAATGATTCAAACATATTTTAATAATAAGCATATTTTGAAATTTTCAAAAATCAGCCTCACAAGCAAATTCAAATTAAAATGACGAAGAAATAATGTGTGCGTATGTGTGTGTGTATGTGTGTCCCCTATTTAAAAACCAAAGCTGTGGTGCATTGAGACCGAAAGCTCAAGCACATCTCACAAAAGTAGAGAATGTTACAACCTTTCTGGAAAACAAGTTGGAAATCTGAATTGAAGCTTTAAAAAAAATCCAAAGCACAAACATATACCTTTGACATACTCAGACACGTTGGTAAAAACTATAGAAAAAGATTCTGCAAGCAACTGCAATTCTTCAAATTGTTCAGTTGTGCTACATTCTTATGACAGAACATTAGGGCAGCTATTTAAACAGTTTTCTAGAGAACATCTACCACCTTGAAAAAAATCAATTGAAAAACCTCAAGATACAAAAGTATTTTTTAAAAGTACAAAATCAATTTTATAAATCTGTAAGCTACACATGCATAGATGAAAGGAAGAAAATATAATACAAGGTTAGCAATGGTTATATATGGGGAAGGAAATGTGGATAACTTGTATCTCATTCTTTATACTTTGAGGATGGTTTCATATATTCTACAGCGAACATATTGTACTTTTATAAGGAGACATAAAAAAATAAATGCTATTTTAAATGAGAGCTAATTGTCATCAAGTGATGCAAGAAAAAATTTCCAAAACAAAGCAAGAAAGAATTTTTTAAAATAGACTTTTCTAATACATGAACAACAGAAGAGGCTCAATTTTTTCTTATGAGGTTTTCTTCACGTGACCAATATGATTAAAAGACTTTCAACAAAGGTAGGAATATCTAATGACTGAATGTTGAACACTGAAACACTATCTAAATGAAAAGCTTACCTTTTTCACTTACACTCTCACTTTCGATCTCAACATCATCACAACTCGTATACTCAGGTGTGGAAGCCATTTCCTCCTCTGAACTGCTCAATGAAACTTGTCGCATTTTACCTCCTTTCTTTGATTTATGAGGCTTTGGCGGTGGTGGTCTCACTGACTCTGACTGGTCTGAACTGAGGGAATCATTCCTCAACATTGTTTCCATTTTTTCCCTTTTTGTTTTCCTCACAGCAGAATTGGGATCTAAGTGGTGCTGTTTCCTTAATGAGTCAGTACGCCTCAGGTCTGGTCTATCGACGGGTATGGGACTCCTCCGCGGGGTAGGAGGACTATGGTTTGTGGTCCTTTGTGGATAAGAACTTTGTCCCTGAGCCTCTTGAGTTCTTTCCATTGAATACGATCTCTGATTTTCCATTGCAGCTCTGCGTTCAGATATAGATCTTTGCCTTGATGGTCGGTCCATTCTTAGCAGAGAAACCCTGGAATCTTCCAGTTCAGCATTTGCCAAAGAGACATCACTATGCCTTCTCTCATGCCTGGCGCGGGACACCTCAGCATGGATACGCATTTGTTCTTCATAGGGTTGGGGCTTCACTGGATAACGGGCCAAATTTGGATCACTTCGGTAGCGTGCCTGGTACTCCTCCTCCTCTCTCCTTTGTCTGTCATATTCATCTCTGCTCTCCACATCCTCATCATCTACAATATATTCTTTGGAATGCCTACGACTTCTCCTGTTGGAGTCCCTATAACTTAAATGATCAGATTCTTCATAAAACTGAGGTTCACGTTGAGATCGTCTATCAGCATAACCTGATGGAGATCTAGGCATTGCGCTATCAGAAGAAGCATACTGTGAATATTCCTCCCTTTCCTCCCTTTGGTCGTATCTTCTGTTCTGATCTCCGGACACTGACGGACTTCTTTTCCTAAGTGACCAAAGGAAAAGGACAATGAGAAGAGCAACATTTAAGCAACTCCACCTTTTGTTGATTCACTGTCAGATTGATGGGCAAATTCAAATACTTCTTTTGGCTTTTCTTTTCCATTTTAATGACATGCCATAACAAAAGTTTTAATAATATTAATTTTACTCAGTTCAAACAGGTCATATAAAAGGTATTGTGTTGTGGTTATTAAGTGCTGAAACCAATATATATATAAAGAGAACTTGTGCTCAACAATTAGTTAATTAGTGTTATATTCTGCTGCTTTAAAATAGTCTTCATCTTTATTTCTTTGCTTGGCTGGCTGCACTTTGCCTGTACCCCAATTATTATCCAGCAGCTTAGAAAAATACCTCTGTCTATGCTCTCAGCTACTAACACCTTAATATGAGCGACCTGAAAATGTAATGAACTCAGATGACTTGCCCAAATAGTTGAATACCTTCTCATGAAAACTAAGTGCTAGCCCTTAAAAGTCATTTTACATTCATCTACCTAGATCACTCCTAGTATGGGTCACCTAAATCTTCATCTTATATCATTTTATTCATTATGTCTCCAACCCTTTTTTATTGATCTAATTTGAGACAAGTTAAAGAAATATCAATCATTATTCATTCATCACAAAAACCCTAGAAGTGAGAAAGGATTTCTATTTGTATTCCATCTAAGTTAAGATTAAGTTCTGCTTGGTGACACTTTTCTACTGATCTTCACATCTAACCTCCCTTCTTATTTCCATATATTCTCAGAAAAGAGAAAACAAATTTCCTGCCTCTCCAACACAAATATAACCTAGTGAGCCTATTAAGAAAGGCTGAGGCCAGCTGAAGTTAAAGATGACCAAGATTCAACAGCTCGGCTATGAATTTCTTGGGTTTTGTTTGGTTGGTTGGTTGGTTGGATGTTTGTTACTTGTTTTGTCCAAAAGTAGAGGAAGGACAGAGTGGAATGGCACGCTCTAGCAAAATCATCACTCTCCCCTGAAGTTTCCCTTGTGACTGAATCCCTTTTGCCCCATATCTGGAATACAAGTTGCCAGTGTGTCTGTCCACAAGGGTTCACTAATGAAAACAGAAATCCTCTTAGGTTTTCCCGGTATGAAGGGCACAGGAATCAGCTAAATAGGCTGGGGAAAAGGCCAAGGAAGTTAATGGCAAGGGTCTCAAGACAAGGGGCCTCCAAATGGACTTTAGGAAGCTGCTAAGAGTCATTGCTCCAGTGACCTCAGCTGCCCACCACATCAGGGTGGGCAATTAACAGAGCTTCCCCGGGAGGCTCTAAGACTCACATCTGCCTGCCCAAAACTACTGCTGACAGTAACAGCTTCTGGATAAAGTTCACCATTAGAATTACACATAAATACAAAGCCAGGGTAGAATCTAACCTGGGACTGTAAAGAAAAATATTAGAGTAAATGAAGGGACTAGTTTATCAGTTGATTACTTTATAATAAAGCAAGTGGATACAATATGATTTTTCTATTTATATATAAAACATTTAGAACTTAATTACAAATATTTTATGTTACAACTGCTACATAAAACTAGACTTTCACAGTTTGAAATATGCACCCAAAACACAAAACTCAAGATAAAGATTATAGTAGTAACCTACACAATACCACGTGTATGCATGCATGTTATGCACCATCCATTTTACTTTGCTCATTACTTCAACATCAAATGACTCAAGAAGTGGTATCCCATGGAAAGAAAACTAGCGTAAAGGGATCTGCATTTCTTAGTCCTGATTTTGCTATTAACCTGTTATTTGAACCATTTAATCTTAAGGATTTTGTGCTTTTTAAAGCAAGTAAGAGGCACAGATTCACAGCTTAACCCATGTGCTGTTTCAATAAATATATTAGATAAGAACTAAATGCCACATGTTATAATACAGATTAGGAACACAGGAATAAGATATGATCTTTGATCTTAAGAAGCTAAATGAGTCTAAAACCATCATCTATCTTAGGGACTGTGATCTTATATAAAAACTTCATCAAGTTCATTTATCTAAATGAAACTTTAATGTGTTAAGGATTGCCAGTAATATATTTACTATCACACTTGGTGTTACAGAGTATTAAGGAAAAAAAAAAACAATTGTATTCCTACCCTGAGGAAATGACATGAATTTTCAGAAAGAGAGCATAAAGTGAATATTGTATAGCCCATGTAATGATAATATAGTAAGTTTGTTTTATTGGTAAATAAGACTATTTACCTCCTATTACAGAATTCAGTTCCAAAAGAACTATTAATAATAGGTTCCGGGAAGGCCCATCTAAGTGCTTTTTAAAAATTATACCCCTGGAAAATTGAATTAGATATTACATCTAGCATTCATTTCACTGTAGAGATTATAAAATATGCCTGAAGCACATGAATCATACTGTACATGCTGAATTGCACTGGATTTAAGTAAAAATAGAACAGTGATTAAAATCTGAAATTGGGATGACTATTGTCTCTGTTACTTTAACATGGACATAGGCTTTTCAAAATACCTTTTAAAGTATAGTATGATGTGGTATATTAAAGCTTTGTGAGAAGCAAGGTAAGACTTTAGGGTAAGATTAGCAAACAGTGAAGAATCTTCTGTCAACTACTCTGAAATATACAATATTCTATCAACTTCTACCAACTATATCATGAATTATGTCATATATATTCCCCTTTAAATTTTAAAACTTCTATTTTTCTTAGACTTCCTTTAAAGAACTGAAGAAAATACACAAAAGTTCAAGTACTGTATCTCTACTCCTTATCTTTGCTCTTGACCTTTATTATCAGGTGGGAAACATTTAACAAAAAGAAAATAATGCCGACTTGCACATTTCTCTAAAGAATCTTAAAGGCTTTAACAGAATTTAACCCATAAGATATAACTCAAAGAAATGGAGCAATTCATCTAGGATGTTATGTATCACTTACTTCTTCAAATATTCTATGAAAGTAAGAGACAGATTTCAAAATTGTGCCTTACTGTAAAAATAAAATGTATTTATGACATTGATAGTGTCCTAGTTTTTACTGTTTTCATTCTACCAATTCCTATTTTCTGACCTAACAATATCAGCATATTTTTATATTCACTTTCTATTTACCTAATATCTACTCTTTCTCCTTATTGAAACCTTAGCTGTTAAAATTATTTTCTCTTGCATCATATTATACAGTCTTCAGTAGAACCAGTTAATAGAAAATCACATTTTAAGCATCCAAAATCTACTTTGATGAGCAGCACTTCTATTCACTGCTTATCATTTTTTTTTTTTTTTTTGGTACCAGGGATCAAACTCAGGTCCTTGCACTTGTGCAGCAGGCAACAAAACCACTGAGCTAAATCCCCGCCCTGCTTATCATTTTTTATCTTATGGGCTACTAGTCAGTCTATTTCTAAATACTCCAGCTATGTAGCACACTCAATGCTCAACTATAAATGTTTTTCTGATTATGCATAAAAATTTGCATTATAAATCCTACCAGTTAGACTCTTTAAAATTCCATGTCCTAAAATTATACTGTTTGAAAGGAAAATTCCAAATAAGTTTCTTTCCCAATTAAAATCACTTCCTAATTTCCCAAGGCATTCTCATTTTACATATTAATTCATCATGTTTTACCCTGATTTCCCTTTAATATTTACAACCTTAACCATTTTACATGGTTTGTTTTAACTGCTACCTATCATACCGTTCATATTTAATAATAATCAAGTCTCTGAAAGTACACATTTGAAAACATTTATAAAGCAGTGAAAATTACATGAAAAGTTAAGATTAATACTCATATATTTCAAATCTTACCTGAAATTATCCTACTTTTAGCAAAAATAACAATAAAAGTAAAGAATTTGAAGATTACTAGTTTCTCTTAAGTTCAAATTTATATTATTATAAGTAAGCACTATCTGTATAGAAATACTGAATCTTTATTAATACAGATCAATAAACTCATTTTATGATTAAAAGGATATATTTGAAGAATCAATAGTCTGAAAAATAGCTCCATCTTTTAAACCATATTATAAACCATGGATATTGCCAAATAAATGAAAATAATACTTCACAAATACAATTACACAATGCTTACCATGCAGTTTAAGCATAACACTACAATCAAATTTTAAATTCAAAGCTGTTGAAACAGTTGAGAATTTAACAGAAGTATATGATCCTGTAAAACCTGAAATATTCAATTTCCATTCCTGTAATTCCTATAAAAGGCTTTTAGCAAATTAAACAATTTATCAAAAAACCATAAACTATCACAATATTTAACATTTTTATTTTTACCTTTAGTTCAACCAATGCACATCTGTCGAGCATGATGCATCATTTTGACAAAAATACATCAACACTGTGCCCAGCAGTGCTTTCATTTAATCCTTCTAGCCCTAGCAAAATCATAGGAGGCATCCTTAATCAGATGATTCACAAAGTCTCTATTGCTCACAATTATTTTATTTCAAAAGTCAATTACTAAAAAGTTACACACAAATCAACGCTCACTCAAGGATGAAGTCCTAAAGTCCTCTAGTGAGGGGCCTGGAAGGAAAGGATGTGCTTTAATGCTGCTGCCCTGGGCTGCATATAGCTCCAGGTCAAGAAAGAATGTCCCTGTAAGGAGGATTATGGTATTTAGCTGATTAGTGCCTCACAACACTGAACACCAAATGCAATCTAGAAACAAGGCATTTCTGGCCACTATTCTTAAAACTGCCAGCTTTAGAAATTTATAAGCTACATTTTCCCATATTAATTAAAGTATTTCATTGTGTCTATTATTGATAAATTCTGCTGCTCAGCTTCTGCCACCAAATGTACAGTGATAATACAAGATGGTGATGGGTTCATGGGCTATTCTATAACTTCTTTCAATTATTCATTAACAAGTTTCTTAATCTTTACCAATATAAAAAGTTTCCCCAAAGACAGAGGAAGCAACAGTAGAAATTTAATTTTAAAAAGTTGC